CATTTTACTGGTAAAAGGTTCAATGATATTCTATCCATCACAAGTGATCAATTCTTGTTTTATACTAGTATTAATAATGTATTCTTGAATCAATTTTCCCATGAAATTCCACAAAAATTAATCACCACAAACAGTAGAACCTAAACATATTAATCTACTGATGGGATTCTTAAGAAAAAAAAACAATTTAAAAGTGTAAATTTATTTATTAAATATCTGTTAATTCTATCATTTTCAAGAATACACTGTTTTTCAAAGTAACAATTTGTCCACTAAGACATTTCCTCATCATCTTCCTGTGTTTCCTCTACCACTGTCTCTTCATTAGGATCAGGAAGCTTTGTAGCAATCACATTCAAAAGTTCCTCAATCTCTTGATCAGTTTTCAAACGCTCTTCACTATCTTCAATGATCTAAACAAAGCATAGAGGCACTAATTACATATTATATAAAACAGAAAATTATGGCTCCCTACAAAAAAAAACAGTTATAAAAAAATTACAAAATTATGCAGTAAAGTAACCCTATGAAAAAGCTACAAGATATGAGAGAGAACCAAAAGGCTTGGCCACTAAACTCTATGCCAAAACTGATTTCTAAGCAATCAAATGCAGAAGTTACAAACCAAATCATAGCTAAATGATCACATTCCAATGAAACAAGACAGAACACTAAAAAACTTACCAGCTGAATTTCAACTGGTGTAGTAGGTCTCAGGTTCAACAGTTGAAGCTTCTCTGCTCTGTTTAAAATATAGTAAAATATATTTAACACATTAGCTCATAACTTGATGATGTTAGTACACATTGTGTTAATGCATGAAGTAACAGCAGGAAACCTTGTTAAGTTGAATGGCTGCATAGCTTTGACAAATTCTTCTATTACTTCTGGACTCTACAAAAAATAAAATTTGCATTTCAGAAAAGTCAATTATGTTCAGGCTTACGTGACCTAAAACTAGTCCTGTAATTTACAATGTTTGTCATGGCTTCAAAACTCTAGCCTTCGGTATACCACCTTGAAACCATCTTTACTGCTAACGCTGCTTCTAAATTACATATATTAGTCCAGTCAATATTTATCCACCTAAGGGATTCTTGAGGAAACACAAATAATTCAAAAGTTTAAAATTTATTTATTAAATATGCAAAGTCTAACCTGGTGTTTACAAGGAGTTTTCTCTAAATGCTTCCGAGCCTAAGAGTGAACAACACTGTATCTTAGGACAAAAGTTAGGATTTGGTATAATTTTGAATTAGAGGCAATCTTCAACAAACCTTGCTCAATCTTTTATAACATTACTGACCTCATAGCAAATTGTTGACAAGTTAACAAGGTGTTTCTGCCTCTTCTTAGCCTTATCAACTTTGTTTTGGTTTTCTGTCTCAAGCAAAAGTTGATAAACCTGAAGAAAACAGGAAATAAATAGAGTTAGAATCCCTAAACTATAGTTGCTGGTGTGCAATTAATGTAAATGCATCATTTTAAACACTTGCTTCCAGTGCGAGAAGTTTGTTACAAAGAGACAAATTTGTTTGTTCATAAAATTTGTTTGTTTATTTGTTCATTTTTAACAGTCAGCTGTTTGATGTTGTTTTGGTCCCTGTGCTGCAGATTGAAGTAATGTTAACACAACAACTCTAAGTCGGCTTAAAAATATACTCATATATTTAATTTTTCCTAGGAAATTATTTGTTCCCCTAGAAGAGCATTTTAGCAGTGTTCACTAGATGTTTGTTTACAAACTGACTTTAAATCAGAGAAGTGTAAATAATTTCATCACTTCAGAATTTCTTTTCTAAAATCATGATGAAGATCAAAGCTATGGAGAATTTTAAAATGAAGAGTCAACTTATGTGATAAACCCACAAGATTATGGAAGATAGGCCAGAAGATAATAAAAGATCAGCCCACAACATCATAGAAGATCAGCCAACATGATCATACCAATAGTGCCCTTGTCCAGTCTCATGTGTCTAATGCTTTTATGTGCAACAACTCATATCTCTTTTCACGGCGTACTTGGGGAGATGGTTGAAAGCAACGTGAATTTGAGTTTGAATTCTCAAGATATATGTAATATTGATAACAATTGACAAAATTAACGGCTAGATGACGCTACATCCTTTTTATCTCCCATACTAAGAAATAAGCTAAGGAAATTTCTACAACAACTTTACCTCGTAATTGCTCAACAAAGCCGCCTTGTCATTAAGACTGAAAAATTCAAAATTCAATTCAAGACTTCATATTTACAGTTAAACCGGTTGCTATTTTAAACTATTCAGAAGCCTGAATAATTGAATCAGATAAGAATGAAAGAGTTCTTCTTACACTTCCATTTCGACAGCTTTCAGAAATTGTCTAAAACAAGGTCACAAGGATTGAAATGTTTTGATGCCGCCATTTTGAACTCGTTTTATCAGGTGGTTACCAAGCTCACTCTTGTCTTTTCGCCCCAGACTCCAGGCAGAGGAATTTTTCCACGCAAGTTTCCCCTCAAAGGATATTTTTAGTTAGCTTGAGATCTCCAGGTTTTACCGATCTATTTTCCTATTTTTGGCTTGATCGATTCATTTATCCGCCATTTTAATTATTTATAATAATTAGGTTTTTTTACCCCTCTTCATTCCACATGTGATCGTTTGCATTCGTAGTCGGATACTTTTTCCTGCTTTAAGGTGTTTCTGCACGATAACGCAGACTTGCATAAGTAACTTCAGGAGTGGATAACTGCCTTCGTTAACGTTGAAACTTGCACTAATTGGACCCTGAACCCGATTTTGTCTTCCAAAAAGGTCCTTGCACCCCGGCAGCAGCACCTAATTAGAAGGCGTAGATTTTAAGATAAAGCAAGACAATTTGGTTTTACTGAGTGAATTAATAATGTTAATTGGCCACCGTTGAGAGTCTCAAAAGGTGACAAAGGGCTAACTTCGAAAAGGTAGCTTAAGAACTTCTTTCATTACGGTGGTCAACTCACATAATCAACTCAGTTAATGAAACCAACTAATTTTGAAGTAACCCCACGGACGCAGCACCACAGTTTCTTCAGAAACTTAAACCTTTCATCTGAGATAAAGCGCTGTGAGGACCCAAGCCTAACTTAAGTCGACCCTTCAAGTGGTTTTACTGAAGATTCCTTATGACATGAAGTTATTCAGTTCACGGTATATTAATAATAATAATAATAATAATAATAATAATAACAATAATTTATTTCTATAACGCATTTTCCTAACGCCCAAATGCGCTTTACAGTGTCAAATTATCATAACCTATAATTATATAAAAATTTAAAGTCTAAAAATATGCTTGTCGAAAAAGATAGGTCTTAAGCTTAGCTTTAAAAATAGAGACAGATGCGCTGTTTTTAATCTCAAGTGGATCCGAGTTCCAGAGGTAAGGCGCGCACACTGAGAAAGCCCTCAGGCCAGTCAATTTGAGCTTGTGTGTTGGTTGCTCCAGTAGAAGTTGGTCAGTAGACCTGAGAGCTCGCCTAGGAACATAAGGACTGATGAGCTCAGTCAAGTACGTTGGAGCCGCACCATGGAGTACCTTGAAGGTGTACATTGAAATCTTAAAAATAATACGTTGACGGACGGGGAGCCAGTGTAGCTCAATAAGTAGCGGTGTGACATGATCAAGCTTTTGTTCGCAAGTGATCACTTTTGCCGCTGCGTTCATAACATATTGTAGTCTCTGAATAGGATAATCAGGTAGGCCATAAAGAAGCGAATTACAATGATCTAAGCGAGACATTACTAATACATGCACTAGTGTTTTGGTTGAGTCAATACTAAGGCATGGACGAATGCGACCGTTGCTAGTGACTAATGTTTCTGATGTGATAAAAAGCAGTCTTGCATAGATCATTGAAGTGTTCCTCGGAACTCATGGTATCGTCGAAGATGGCACCAATGTTTCGTGCGCTAGATGTGGGCTCGACAGTAGCATCACCCACAGTAATCGAATCTAATGGTGGCTTAGGGCGATGTTTAGTATGCAGAACCAGGAGTTCAGTCTTGTCGTTGTTTAACCGGAGATTATTTAAAAGCATCCATTGGTTCAGCTCACGCAAACAAACTTCAACCCTAGTGCGCGCAGACACAATATCCTCCATTTTAGTGGTCTTCATGCTAAGGTACAGTTGAGTGTCGTCCGTGTACATATGAAACCCGACACCATGGCGACACAGGATAGCTCAGAGAGGAGAGGTATAGACCAAATATAGGATTGGGCCTAATACAGACCCCTGGGGAAGACCGCAGGTCAGTTGACGATCAGAAGAACTAGTATCTCTGATTTGGACGAACTGTGAACGATTGGACAGGTGATGGAAGCGCGGGAAAAAGCAAGTGACCAAGTTGCAGTTGGTTTTAATTTTGAATAATATTTGTTTGAAAGACTTGCACAAGTTTCCGCAACCGAAAGCAGAGCGT